CTTTGGTAAAGCAAATAATCCTTTCGTAATGGGAATAATTTCTCCCAATGTATCTAGTTTTTTTAAAATCCCATTTTCATATATCTGCTTTTCTTCAAAGGGGGCCACAACTATCTAAATATACAACGGCATTTGCATATTGATTTTAATAGCAATCCTCTCAGGGATGTTTAACCCTAGGTTCCTTGTAATTGTGTTAGTGCTCCGCTGTTCATATTTTTAAAAATCAATACAGTACACCCAGAGATTTCCAAATAGGAATCAAAGAATCTGTTACTCCCCCTGCAGCCCTGTGCCCCCACACAAACAGTCCACACAAGAGTCAGGAAGCCACACAGAATTCTCTGAATTCTTGAGGCAGTTAAGTCTCAAAGTCTTTACTATTTTCCTTTCCTTAGTTGCTCCCCCCGCCGCCCCTTCGCCCCCCAGTCTGGAGGGGGTCAGCTGGGGCCAGGCGGGGCACAGGGTCTCTCAGACATATTCTGATGACAGCCCACAGGCAGGCAGAAGCTTAGGTTCAGTCCAACAAAATGCCAGCCAGGTCTCCCCATCTGACAGAACTGTGAATCACTGCTTCCTGGAATGAGGCAAGCCCAGGTGCTTTTATAAATAAAACCAGATGAATGGAACAGACCAAAACAGCCCCTTGGCCTTCCCAGAAAATGCTGTCATTATTGCACCATATTGCATCAAACCAAAGAACTGCTGAATCAGTGTGACGAGATGGGTGGTAAGCTATTGCTAATTCAGGGAAAAGGCACCTGCCTACCCCAAAGCCCAGTGCTTGGACGGCCATGGTGCCAAGTGAGGACACTGCATGTGTACAAGAGGTGACCAGGGCAAGAGCCCACTTCTCATGCATTAGAACCAGAACTTCTTTCCCTTCCAACTTTCTGGCCAAGGATGTTGCTTTCTGACTGAAACAAGCAACTCTAGCTCTTTTCAGCTTACAACATCTTGAAGATGGACACAAGTGATAGAAAAAGCACACACAGCTCAGATACTTTGATCACTTCTGCCAGAAAACCAGCTTAGCCCCTGAATCCCCTTAACCCAAGGAAGGGTCCTTTTCCTGTCATCTGGCTGCTAAAGAGAAGGCTTGGGAGGAAGGCATTCCCGCAGATGTCTACAGACACATTTATCCTCACCTGAAGCCACAATACTCCCTCTACACCCAGGATGCCTTGGGCAGAGAGGGTGCTGGGTGGAAGGGCCAGGCGCGGGCCAGCCGCAGTGTTCAGCTAGAGCTGCCCCTGCCTGTGTCATACCGTCCCTCTCAGGGCGTGCTCCATGTGGGCACAGCCGAGTTGCCGCGTGGCAGGCTGCCTGGCTGGCTGGGAACAGGGCCACGTTCAAAAAGTGTGTCTGGAGCAGGATAACATTTCACGAAGTGGCTCCTTTGCCTAAAGACTATTTGTGTTGAGGGAGAGGGACGGAAGGGAATTTATGATTGCTTCACACTTGGGACTGGGCAGCTCTCACTCTCTCTTAACTGATTTGTCATCTCCCTCTGAGCACAAGACAAGGGTAAGGATCCAGGAGAAAAAGCTCAGGTCTTGGCGTCAAGAGGCCGGGCTAGGAAGGCTAGGAAGGCCATCCTACCCCACAGCTACTCCCTGCTCCTGGCTCTCTGAGGAGGCAGAAGGATGTCAGGGAGACACGAAGAGGCCGTGGAGGGCTGGGGCTCTATTTTCAGAGAAGGAATTCAATTTCCTTAAGGCAGTCAGTCTGGTAGGATGTTATCTGTCCTGCACTGACTCTACCAACCCTGTTCTGAGAATCTGGCAGTGCAGGACCATGGTATTTGGGCTTAGATCACATTCTTTCTCTCTTTACCTCTATCAGGAATCAATAGCTGTTTTCACACTCTATGATAATCACGGAACTACAAACTAGTAATTCACCTTCTACCCAAATGAACTATATAAAATGACAAAAGGTCAGTTTTTAAAAATAAGAAACCTGAAAAAGATGAAGTTAGCTGTTCAGAAATTAAATACTACTCATTATCCTTAGAGAATAAATCCTAATTATGTTTTTGAACACAGTCAGTCAGTTGTGCATTGGTTTGTCTAAGTGATCTGACAGCGTGCTCCCTGGTGCAGGGGCCAATCTGGGAAGAGATTGAGAACATAAGGTAACATCCACTCCTACAGGCTTTCTCCTAAATCAGATTTATTTCAGTGAAACTGGCTTTAGATAACAAAGGGAAAGAATTCCTGTTTAATTGTGATCAGGCTCAGTATTCAGCTGAGGTCAAATCTGGGGAAATCCTGAGAAAAGTACAACAGAGGGAACCGCAATTCCGTTCTGGGCTCTGGCGTCCATTATTTTGTGTCTTGGATGACTTAAGTCTTTTTTTGCCTTAATCTCTCAATCTGGAAAATGAGGTCATTTTCACCCACTGTGAAAAAGCATCTTGGCAGTCTTTGATTCTAAGCGCTGATCGAGAAAGGAGCCAAAAGCCAAAGCAAACCCCAAAGGAGCTGAGTTCATAGCATGTCCTGTTACATCCCCACTGGCCTGTGGCCCCACAAATACACTTGGTATGTATGATCCCCCTGAAAAACCGCAATTGCCTGAGGGACAAGACCACTTCTTCCGTTTCTTTCGTATTTCTTTTCCTATACCATTTGTTCCAAAAGTAGACCTATGCCACAGAGATAACAAACGTGGCTGTCCGCTTCTTCTGATTAATGTGGAAAGGAAATGACGCCAATCCCCATGCTTGAAAAATGCTTCGTAGATTCAAAGCGAATGCACATTCACCTGATATTCATGGTGGCTAAGTGGGGGCGTTATCCCCACTTTTAGATGAAGAAGCTAACGTCTACAAACTAGTAATTAAAACAATTTACCTGCACGCAACCTAACCGAAACTTGTACATGATTATTTCTATTCTAGATCCACTCTCGTGTTCCCGACCTGCCCTGGGCCAGAGCCTGCTTCCCATTTAGCAGACTAAGGATTCTTTCTCTAGTGCCATTTTTGGTCAAGGTTAAATAAATATGGTTTTCTTCAATGCGGAGAGGAAATTGATAATGAGATGATTTGTAACAAATGATTAAACGGCCATCACTTGGGAATCTCCTCCCTCTCCCCTTCCTGTATTTCAAAAGTTAAAAGGTGCTGGGTGAAGGTGGGAACGATATTACTTTCCTTCAAGAGAAAGAAGCTTCAGCCCCACACCCCTCACCATCCAGTGGTTCTGCAAACAGATGTCAGAGAGGATCCCTCTTCCTACCACCCAGTTACTCTGAAGGGATGATAACAGCCATTGGGGGGTTAAAAAGAGGCAGCGAACCCCCAGTTAATGAGTAGGAATTCAGCAGGCAGTGTAAGATAAATGGAGCTCTCTCTGCTTCTGCTAGAGTCAGCATGAACTGCGGCCCTGCGGCTTGTTTGTGGCAAATGGAGTGCGCGAAATATCAAAGGGCAGTGATCCAGAAGAAGACCGACTTTGACAAATTTTAAATTGGCCAGAAAGAAAACCAGCAAAAAAGAAAAAGAAAAAAAAAAAAGGGAAGAAAAAAAGAAAAAAAAAAGGAGAGAAAATTACACAATGCACCGTGTCCTACAATTGTGGTACTGCTGCCTTTGTACAGAATTAGTGGTAAAAACAGCAGCGACGACTGCCTGATGCTGGGAGCAATTATGAGCCATCTAAGCGAGATGCTTATCAGTGGCTGAAGCTTTTAGAGCTCTCTATACAGTTGTGAGTAACTTGCTCTTGAGCTGCAGTTACTTTAATTAAAGTGTATAGTGTTGGTCAGAAGTAATTATCCTGTTTGGAGAAGAAAGAGAAAAATACCACCTCAACAATTCTGGGTGGCAATAGATTTTAGAAACAGCTTTGCCAATTCTTGTTGTATGTGTGCACTTCCCATAAAAGGATCAGGCCGAGATGGGCTAGAGTTATTGACGGTTGTTACCTGATGGCAAACAATGGGACGCACACAGGGTTTATTAGAACCCCAGTCACTGGGTTTAGCTCAGGGCTCCAAACTGCCAGGATGCGCAGTCTCTCGAGTGCAGACAAGCACTCGCAAGGTTGTGTCTCTAGATGGTGAGCATATAAAGAGTCCACAAATGGTGTTTTATTAATTTACTATTTGAAACATAAATGAACTAGCATCTCTCTTTTTTATGCCTTCCATTCATGAAGTTTCACTACCTTTTAAAGACAATCACTGTGTTCCTTTAGGAAAACAAAACCAAAACAAACCAACAAATAAAAGAACCTCAAGCAATTATCTTCGCCAACATAGCAAGGGGGCTCGATGGGAGATCTGGGCAGAAAGATGTGTTTTAAACGGATCTGAAACTCATTCGGTCTCTGGACTCAACACAGGGCTCCCAGGGTTCAGTCCTATGTGCAAACTGCAGCATCTTCCAAAAGCTCCAAAAACAAATGAGCAACAGAGTAGTGGCTGGAAGCATCACGCTCAAATGTTCCCGGGCCTGGACGACTGCTGCCACGGCCTCTGTGTGGAAGCACACAGTGCACAGTCTTTACTTCTGTTTCTCTAGCTCAGGATGGCCCCAGAACACCACCTTGGGTAGGTCTCCAGCCTCTCTGTCCCGTGACACTGACTCTCAGTGTCTCAGAAATGAGGCGGGCTTGTCCAAAGACACAGACAGAAACAGGACATTGAAGCCTCGCATGTTCTCTGCCTGATCAGCCTGCCCCTCAACAGCAACTTCTAGCTAATCATTCTTTACAAGGACACCCACAAGGCCAGAAAGATGGGCTTTGTGAATTATAAGAAAATACCAGAAGAAAACTTGGGTGACTTTTGCTTTTTTTAAGGTCCCACTTTCCCTCCTATTACATACACTATTTCATTCTACCAGGGCTCTTACCATATAGAGGATAGTAAATAAAGATTATCATGAATTTGATCAAATGCTTCAGTGCTTCCTCCCCTGGCCTATGAATGCACTCATTACAAATCAGCTGAATGGCTCATTGATTTGCCAGGAGGACAAGCAGACATACCCAATCGTTCAGCCAAGCGAATGTAGACGGGGTCCACCCGACGCATGGTTTTCACCAGATCCTTTCTGCGGAATTTGATTTCTACTGTCCCCTCTGGCTCCAGAACTGATCCCCTGGATCAGAGAGAAACAAAACAGAAATAGAGGCACTTTAAAGGAAGGAGACAACAGAATGAGGCCGGTTACAATTTGCAGACCAGGAAATAGCTTCATTATGGTTTTGGCCACCCATGGCTCACAGAAGTAACCCCAGGGAGGGAAGCAGGCATCAGAAAGTGTCTAAGTGGGGTGTGAAGGCCAGGCAAAAAGCAATTAAAATAATTCTCATTACCACCACGCCAGTCTACTTCCATCTCAAAAGAGGAATACCGATTCCACCATCTACAATGGTGCAATGAGGGGTCGACGCCAAGCGGTCCCGCACACAGCCGTCAGTCGCTGGTGGGACTCCCACATGCTAGGCCAGGCCAAGCAGGGGAGAAAACACTCTGTCTACCGCTATGGGGAGGTCTCAGGGTTATTTCTAGCTTCTAGTGCATACTAATGATGTTCTAGTACCAGGAACTTTACCCTGGACAACTTAAAAAACAACAACAGCCACGTTTTACATTAAAAAAAAATTATAGCTAATACTTCCTATATACATGGCACTGTTCTAAGTGCTTACATATAAAGCTTCATAGCAATCCTATACCCAGTCTGCATCCCCTATGAGGGAAGGAACTATTATCCCCCAACTTGCCGATGAGGAAGCTAAGGTCCAGGGCATTAAGAGACTTGTCCAAGCCTAACAAGTGACAGGGCTGCATCTGAAACCAGGTGGTCTTGTTCCACAGTCTGCAGAGGAATTGTCTGTGATCTGCTATCAGATCAGGGGCTAGATTTGGATTTAAAAATAGTAAGTCCCTCAGTACAGACTGCTAGCCTACTGATTTTGCAATAAAACTACGGGGCTCTCCCAAGCAGCTGTTGAAGAAGGAAGCTAAAATCTTGGGGAAAGAGAGAAACAGGTGGGGAGCCTGGGTGGCTCAGTCATTAAGCGTCTGCCTTCGGTTCAGGTCATGATCTCAGGGTCCTGGGATGGATCCCCGCATTGGACTCCCTGCTCAGCAGAAGCCTACTTCTCCCTCTCCCACTCTCCCTGCTTGTGTTCCCTCTCTCGCTGTGTCTCTATCAAATAAATAAATAAAATCTTTAAAAAAAAAAGAGAGAGAGAGAGAGAAACAGGTACTCTAGTAGAATGATCGGAGGCAGGAATTGGCATGGGCAATGTCAAGGAAACACAATGTGAGATTTACCTATTTTGGAAAGGGTTGAAAACAGATTATGAAAGGAAGCTGCATGTGGTCTGTTTTACTTAAGTATTTTCAAGGACCACCTCCTGACAAAAGCCTGGGACATTCTCTTATGGTTCTCTGGGTGCCGTGAGCACGGTGTTCTCCAAGCCTCCCAGAATGCCAGAGTGAGCAGCTCCGGCTTGGAATCAGAGAATGCGGGGGCTGCTCAGTGACCTCAGTGACCAGCAGCTCGTCCCACAAACAAGCAGCAGCAGCTCAAGGAGAGTAAGACTGCTCCAGGTTCCTCGCCAGCCAGTGGCAGAGCTGGGTGAAGACCCTAGAACTCCACAGACTAAGAATTTAGTCCTTCCACTCCAACTCGCCTTGAGCTCCCTCTGTCACACGTCTAAGAAAGGGAGAGCGAACAGGCCTATCTGCACAACAATCGAGAGAATCCCTCCAAGTTTCTCCCAGTGCCTGGAATAGAGGACAGACTTCTTGGTACAAGAATGTGGGCTGGGGGGTCACACTAGGAAAGCCTGACTCCCACCTGCTTTCCTTCTCATCCTAGCAGACACTATCTAGAAAATCTCTTTTTCTGACCTGGGAGCCCTCTGGGAATAGACAGATTCAAATAAAGATCTCTTGGTTCTAATGTTCTCCAGGAGGAAACCAACAGCTAGAGCACCCCTAGAGACAGTGAATGGAAATAAAGAAGGAATGCTACCTGCTCTCTCGGTCAGCGTACATCTCCATGTGTCGGGGGTTGATGGTGGGATCGATCACAACCCAGGAGCCCCCCCGGAGCTCAGCCTGAGGAGGAATGTATACCAGCACTGGCTGGGAGCACTCCCGTAAGCTATCCACGATGTAAGCACCGAACTTCAGCACTTGGTCGTACATATCTGTGGAGAAGGAGACAAATCAGAAATCACGAAACAGTGCTTCCAAATATTGTTCACATCATGGCACACACAGAAAATAACACACTGTGCCTCCACGAGGAGGCTGCTCCTACCAGAGGCGACAGGCCTGGGGGTTCAGCCACCCCGGGTCCTGTCCGGCCACCCTGAAGACTGAGAGGATGGGTATTTCCACCTGTATTCTGTTCAAGACTCCAGGGGATCTTCAAAAGCACAAGAGAAGTGTACGGTCTTTCACAAGACACAATGTGCAAGCCCTGTGGATTGCCTATCCATTTTATAGCCTTTCTGAATTGCTGGATTCAGGTCTCATCACATTAATTCACATTTGCTCTACAAATGTTGAGTATTTTTCATGTCAATATGTGATCTCTCTCACTACATTAAGTTTTCTGAAGGAAGGAACGATTCAAGCTCTTTTCAAGTCTTCCCGTGATACTTAGAATATGATAAGCTCTTAAAATGTGCAGCTAGTGGAAATGGAGCCTTCAAAAATTTTATCTTCAAAAACTGCATCTTTCCTCTTTGTATCCCCAGTGTCTTGTCCAGTGCCTCGAACACAGTTAGTGCACGATAAGCGTCTGCTGAAGGAATGGATGAGCACATACACACTTTGGAAAGAACATAACCAGAAAGAACAACAAATTCTTTAACAGTTGCATTTTTATCAGGGCATCAATGAAAGAAAAAACTTAAAATGCATATGTAGTTATTGGAAATATCACACAGCCACATAAAAAGAAGAGCTACCTTTTTATTTTGCTAAAGAGCACACTTTGTAATCCCAAGGCCAGGAGCAGCCTGAAGAAAAGGTACCCTGGTGCATAAATAAAGCAAGTCCTTGGAAAGTAGGATCAGTTATTATTTGTTTCCCAACAATTTATGGACTTCTTCCCATCTCCTAGCTCCCTGAATTCTACACATGGCCAAAGTTTTAGGTTTATGATTCCAGATATTTAATGAGCACTTCAGTGGAACCACAATGGATCCTTTCTAAACACCAAATAACAGGTTCAACAGAGTTCAAACTTTCCTATCAAAGCAAGGATCTCAATTTGGAATAAATCAATTCTGGAAATCCAAAGCAAAGAAGCATTTTTCAGAAAGTTAAGAGCAAACCCAAATAGAAACTGCTTTCATTGTCGTTACTGGCAAATTAAACTGCCACCTTCTCCAAAGTAAAAATGGCTCTCTCTATACAAACCATCAGTGAGCACAGTTCACTGCAAAGTATATGCCTCTCTCCATTGCCGGGCCTGGCCACTCTGTGACAATTTCAGAAACTTCAAAAATTCAGAAGTTGCTCCAAGGAAAAACTCCCTACTCTATGAGAAATGTGTATGGTCACATGCTCTGTATATATGATCAGAGCAAAGACATTTATTCCTTTGGGAGGAAAGCAAAGACCAAAAAAATTTACTGCTAATTACACAACTGTTGTATGAAGAGTGGGGAATAAAGGACTTTAAGCGCTTTACGCTAATTCTGTGGTTATGAAAATAATTGCTCAGTTCAAATTATTTTAACTAAATTAATTCTTTAGTGGATATTTCAACCAGTGCTACATAATAAAATAATTGTGTAATTAGCAGTACATTTTTCAGTGCTGCCAAGAGTACAGTCTCAGTCTCTGAACAAGTAACAGAGAGGAGTGGCCCTCGGTGGTCTCGTGCGGAGAGAAGAAATGGAAGGTGGATAGAAGGAGAAAGCGAAACAGCAGAAAATAGCACACACAGTCATCCTATGTGAAAGAGGAAAAAGGTAGAGGTAAATGAAGAGAGTTTGTCACTTCTGTTTGTTAAAGATCTACCTATATTAAAATCTGCCCGTACTACCTATGATGAACAGATCCAGCCCCCAGAAAGAAAGGAAGGACTGTGTTTAAAATGTATGCCCACTTATTTAAGTTGTAAAAACTCAAGTTCATAGGATATGCAGTTTGTTTGGGAGGAAGCGGAGTGTGTGTGCAGTTTTTGAAATGAACTTTGGTCTCTCCTTTTCATCATCATGGCTAGTTTGTTGTGTACCACGGAGCATGATTTCATATACACACACATATGAATCATTTAATCATCAGAAAACATGTTCTTACATCCATGTTATAGGTGAGTAAATTGAGGTAGTTAAATAAGTGAATAAATGGCAGAGGTAAAATTCGAACGCAGATCCTTAGGGCTCTGAAGTCCGCTTTCTGTGACCTCGTTCTTACTGGGAGGGAAGAGCATGAGGCCGAGGTGACCTGCTTTCCAGCATCTGACACAATGGCTGAGTAAAGCAAAAACCAGAAAAGAGACTGGAATAAATGAAGATTTGTAAATTTTGCCTGGATTTTTTTTTTTTTAAGATTTTATTTATTTATTTGATGGAGGGACACAGCGAGAGAGGGAACATAAGCAAGGGGAGTGGGAGAGGGAGAAGCAGGCTCCCTGCTCTGGACTCGATCCCAGGACCCTGGGATCATGACCTGAGCCGAAGGCAGTCGCTTAACCGACTGAGCCACCCAGGCGCCCCATGGATTTTTTGTTATGTTCAGAAAAGTCAGAAATTGTACGGATGACACTACCAGCTATGTGAAGGGCTTGGATCTGACTGCCGAGCAATTATCTTCAGGCCCCAAGACGGTGAGTAATGAAGGGGCATCAGGCTTCATTAAAGCTGACAAGCTTGGGACTGAAAACAATGCCTCCCTCTAACCTGCAACATCAACAGACCCACAATCCAACCATCAAAAGACCCAGAAAGCAACAAAGGCTATTAAAATGTGAACGGACACACACAAAACAAACCGTACAAACAACATGCTCATGATGAATCACAGCAGCCCCAAACCACACATTGTGAAAGGCAGGTTGAAGCACCTGGCAACAGTCTGACATACATTTGTCTGAAATCCCTTCGTTTCTGAGACAGAGCAAAAGCACAGCCAAGAGTAGCAGGGGAGAGTGTACTCCCAAGGGTTTAGGCTAGACATCAGTCTAGGGAATTTTAAAGCTATGCATATGCTGACTGTCAATTCTCAGGCCATGAGAAAAGCAACTGAGAATGGAAAATACTGATAGGTTCTTCAGTGGAAAGGCGGGGGCTTGGCACTTCCTAAGCACCGTGAGCAAAGCACATCTGCATATGATCACACAGCCTTTCCAGTGTGTTCTCAGCATCCAGGCACCAACCCTGCCTAGGGCCTTCATTGTTACACAACATGGATAAACTGTGACAGCCACGGTGCAGGGTGGTAGGGTGTTTCCACAGTGCCCCATTCTCTTGAAACTGGAACAGATCTTACTGGCTTGGGGCGAGATTATCTGTTAGAAGCTGAAGGTAAACATTGGACATACACAAGCTGCATATACATAATGTGTCTCATCAGTTCATTAGGGCCGGCTGACACAGTATTTCGACAACCAAGTAATCAGAGACTTTAAAATAGATTTCATTCCAGTTAAAGTTTCCAGTAAATGTTTTTTTATTGTTATTTATAACCTGTCCCAGGAAAAAATAATAAGTATAACATGAAAAGCCAACTGAGAGTGACCTGGTAGCACCAGCAGTGAGGCAGCTTAATATCACTGGGATTTGCATCCTATCAAGCTATTCATGCTGAGGCTGGGACCCTGGTGCTAATTTCTAGTAAATTTCACGCTTGATGTCTCCCTGTTGTGGGTCATTGCCGGTTCGTCTAAATAAACTGCTTCCAAATGGCTCTTCCATCTAAATATTCAGCCAGTTTTTATAATTTAATTTTGCATTATGCTGAATAGCCTTCCGGCCAGATAGAACTCACTGGGAAAAAAGCACCAATACCATCTTGACATACTTTTATTTATTTATTTATATTTTTACTGCTCGAATTAGACCTCCTAGGCTGACTAGTAAAGAGTTTTTTTTTTTTTTTCCCTCCACTAATGTCAATTTTCAGCATAGCAAGAGCTGTCTCTAATCTTTTCCTACTCATTACACACAATTTTGGAGTCATTTTACCCACAGTGCAGTCGGCTCCTGGCTGTGTGTTTGTGTGCACTGAGGGATGGCATAATTGTTTATTTTCCCTCCCTGCATAATCCCCAGCCAGTACTGAAACCAAAACTGCAAACATCTCCCCAAGGGATATGGAATGACTCTCATCTTAGGTCCCTTTACATGAGATAATATGTAGAAAACATCCTGACCTATATGTAAATATGAAAGGCGATGTTCTTCCCCCTCCTACGTTCACACTGATCTCTATCTTCCCTAAAGCTTATTTACCTTAAGTGATGTGTGAACGGATACAGCAGCACCAAAATTCAGAAGGCAGAACTGGCCCTGGTCTATATCAGGCCAGTAACTCATTTTTGACCAAGGGCAGGGGAGAAGGGGGATGGGGGAAATTATTGTTTAATGAGTACAGATCTTATGTCAGGGATGATGAAAAGGTTTGGGGTATATTTAGTGCTGACGGTTACGTAACGCTGTGTATACATTTAATGCCACTGAATTGTACACTTACAGATGGTTAAAATAATAAATATTATGTGTATTTTGCTGCAATAAAAAAAATATACAACTCCTATCTGAACTCTTGAAATTTCTTGTCATAATAACCAAGGACAACTTCAAAGCAGAGGGCAGGTAGGTGGCTAATAACTTTCTCAGGAATCTACACAGTTTATTCTAGAGATGTTGTAGTAGAGCTGGCTTGGTCCTAGGCTCTAAACTCACCCAACTGTGCTACAGGAAGCCAGACAGATCTGCGTTCCTCTCCCAGCTCTGTCATTTTTTAAGCTAAACAATCTTGGGAAATCTACTTAATCTAAGTCTCAATGTATATAAAACACCGATAAATAATATAGCCTACCCCTTAGAAGTGCTTGTTGTGATGATTATGTACGATGACGCATGTAAAATGGTTAGCATGGTTTCTGGTGAAAGGAGCTCAACAAATCTTAATTGTTGTTCTTACTGTTACACGGCTAGCAGCCAATCTGGGCCTGAGCCAGAACATGCAGCAGAGTTGAAGCTTTTCCTACAAGCAGCAAACTCCTGAACTCTGAACTCCTTAGGACAAATGAGCCAGGCTGGCTTACTCCTAAGTAATGTCAGGAAGAGTGAATTCTCAACGGCTCCTGGGAAGAGAGGTAACTAAGTTAGAGTACTGGCACTGCCTTATCTAAGTCTTAATGTAAATCTTTTTGTTGTTGTTCTTTGTTTTTTTTTTTTAAGATTTTACTTATTTATTTGAGAGAGCAGAGCGAGAGAGAGAGAGAAAGAGAGAGCTCAAGTTGGGGGAAGGGGCAGCGAGAGAGGGAGAAGCAGACTCCCTGCTGAGCGGGAAGCCCAATGAGGGGCTCCATCCCTCCTGGCATCATGACCTGAGCCAAAGGCAGCTGCTTAACTGACTGAGTCACCCAGGTGCGCCATCTTAATGTAAATCTTACAGCCAAGAAATCTGGGATCAAGTGAAACTGGATGCTAAATAAACCTCAAACATATGAATGAAAGGACTTTCAGGCTCCTCCCCCAGAAAAAACCACTTCAGTATAGTATCATACTCTTTTGAACACTGTAGCATTTTGTTCAAGACATTTTTCTTGACTCCTTGAGGCAATGTCTGTCTCTGATTCAGTTTTGTTTTCTCAGAAGTAGCTAGCAGAATTCCTTGCACATAGGAACTCAATAAAAATGTGCGGGATTGACTTGTTTAACCTATACTTTCAACATCGCACGGCATTTTCACTGATTTATTCTCTTCGTCATAAAATAATTCACCTGAGAGTCTATAAAAGTATACAAACATTAATTTGCATGTACAGTCCAAGTCTCCCCCAAGAAAAGTGCAAAATGTGGTAGTTCTCCAGCAAATACGGGCAAAGGGGAACTTTACAGCTTAAAAAAAGAAAAGAAAAACCAGCCTAGTCTTCCATATTTCACCAAGGAAGCCTGGCCGTCCAGGGCTCTTCTGAGCCAGGTTAAGGGAAAGTTGTTGGCACGGGGCTCTAATCTCTCTTCACACACAGCTGATAATCTATAAAAGGGTAACTGTCTCAGGCTTTTCCTCCCTCAGAGGTAGAGATGCTCCTGCCCCAAGCTATTTCTGGGTTCATTGTTTCACATCTTATATGTCCTTCTCTCTCACCACTCTACTCCAGCATTGCCAACTCCTCCCTCCTTCCATTCCCCTAACTCATTCTACTACTTCAGAACCCTGAGTTCTCCCCCAGTGAACAAAGTTGACTTTGACCAGTGTATTCATCCCCTCCTGGTAAGGAGTCTCTGGTCTCAGCATGGCCACGAATCTCTGGTCATTGGAGAGAGAACTTCGCTGCTATTAAGAGGGAGAACGAGTTTCCTTTGGCTCTCTTGAACCATCCATGGTGGCTCTGCACAGGGAGGATTCTCAGTAAATGGTGATACTAGCTGCCTATATCACTAAGCGATTCCCAGAGCACAGAACGGAGCCTGTATATTAATGGCCTGATACGCTGGAGCCACGGGCCCACCAGGGCTGTTGTTGGATAATAATAAAATACACCACAAATTACCACAAAGAACAGCTTCTGATACAGAATTTGTTCGTTTTCTTCTGGTGAAGGCTAATTTCGGTATCTACCTCAGGCATGATAGAGCATTCGAGCATAGCATCCACAGAGAATATGCCCAGAAAAGAGAGACAGAGGATAGCTAGCACAATCACAATTCCCCCGGATCATGAGAACAGTCTATCATTCACCTGTGAAAGCCAGATCCACAACAGCAGCCCATCTAGATCACACTAGTAGACTGTTCTGAAATTTTGTACAGAATTGAAAACCACACAGTATTTTCCCACTCAAGTTGCAACTCAGAAGATATATTTCAGAGAAAGTATAATCCCCAAAAAGCCTAGGGTGACGGGCTGTAAGGCTACCCATTGGTTCTGCCCAGTATAAACCCTCCCTCCCTGTGCTGTAAAGTTCTGGGGAAACAGTTACGCACCCCCAGCCCAGAGCCAGGCCAATCACCTTTCATCCCACCAGAGAAGCCTCTCCAATTCGCAAAGACCATCAGAGGCAGCCCTTCACGGTTGAAGTCCTTGATAGCCTGATAGGTCTTAAACGCAGAGTCTGGGAACCAAACCTGGCCAGCCTGCTGGATTATCTATTGGGGAAAGTTAAAAAGGAAGACACAGTTAACAACAGAGTTTGAGAGGGAATTTCTGCAAGGTGAACAAGGTTTTACTTGTTTACTTTAAAAACTCAAATAAACCAAACAAACAAAAACTGTTGTTGTTCATCAAGAGGATCATCTTTGAATTCAAAAAGAAGAAAGGATCCTGGATCTTTGACTTTGTTAAATATTCCTCTTTTTAAGTCCTGATTACACCACCACTCCTCAGTCAGGAGGAGGAAACCTTACTGCTTCTAATGGAAGAATGCCGTCTTGGGAATGAATCCTCACTGTAGGCTTCCTAAAGGCAATTTTAAGCCACTCAACTACACTAGTCCTCAAAACAAGCCAACTGTACATAGTTCCCAGTCCTCTCACTCTGTGCTTAGTACAAGCTTTCTCTGTACTATGGTTGGTCAACAGACACTTGATGTGACACTGATGAGTAACCTCTTCCCTGGCCTCTCCCACCCCTCATTTTCTGACTCTTGTCCGGATGTGAAAATATAACCTACCCTTTTAAAACAAAGATGAGTGGTGGTGTTCACATTTGCCATTAGGGCAGACTTCCTCTTAATTCTAGTAATAGCTCATCCATGTATGTGTTCAGAGAATCTGGGACCAAAGAGCCCTCAGCTGCCTTTCTGTAAGACCACCTCCCCAACGAACATAGACTGTTCTCTACTAGCATCAACAAGACCACTCTCAAGGCCTAAGTAATTTTTCAATTAGAATTTAGCTTGTAGTCCATTTAGAGTCATCTTAAAAGTGAGCACATGATGGTTTGCAATGCCCCCAGTATTTCTACAGGCTCTGCAGAAGGGAAAGCCAGCTCTGAGCACAAGAGTGCAGGGTACTCGAGGTTACTAACCTTGGCTTCAGAATCCAGGTTTGCAGGATCGGCTGGGATACTTAGTTCCACTGTTCGGGTTTCTACGGCAACTACCCCCACAGGTATTCCTCCTAGCCTGATAAAAATGAGCCAAAGAAGAACCCAATGTATGTAAATAGTACAGTTAGTCATTTCTTGTCCAGCCCCATATCAAAAGATTGGAGTGTGTGTGTGGAGTGGGGGCTGGAAACTGCAAATACAGAGAACAGGGGGAAATCCGACTCTTCTAGGGGTAGAAGACTGCTCTCAGAATCACTCCTGTTCTCTACCACATTCAAACCAAGGGTTGAACTAGGTGAGCCTCAGCAGTTAGACCCAACAACAGTCTAGATGTGTGTGTGCACACATAGGCACGCACGCACACACCTTTTTCTGTGGATGCCAAATGAAATTTCTCAGCTCACTCTAGAGCATCTCTTTGGTGAAGACAGAGGGAAAAGGTCCGAAAGGGAGGAGGCACCTGAAATTTACACTGGGCCATACAATGAATCCCATATACCCAATACCTATCTTCAATAATCAACCCCTGGCCAGTCTTGTTCCATCTTCATTTCTATCTAGTTTCTCCTCCATGAGTCCCATGTTACTTTGAAGCAAATATTAAATGTATAATTTTGTCTATAAATATTTCAGTATCTGAAAGATAAAGACCACTATACTATTACCACAACAATAGTTTTATTTTAATAAAAAGTCCAGAGTATTTTTTTTGGGGGGTGGAATGTGCAGCTGTGTTATGGAAATGATGAAAAATACGTGCCAAGTGTACAGAGGTGGTTAAATAAGCCCTGAACTTTCTCTTTCACTGGAAAAGAGCAGTGGCACAGGGATAACTTGCAGCCATTACTCTTGGTGAAATAGGCGATCTATATTGAAAGTATGCATTTCATCTCCAACATATGTTAATTTAAAAAAACTCTTCAGGAGCTCAAAGCCTCTGCATCTAGGCTGCATGATACCCTCTCAACTTCGTCCTCCAAAGATGTCCTGGTAAAAATCAGGAAGAAAGAGAGGGTGAGTGAAAGTGGGGGGAGGGGTGGCAGTTGCTGCAGGTACAGGATGAGTCCTTACTCTGGAAAATGTGATTCAATCTTCACTTTCTCAGCTGCATTCCTTGGGGCCGAGGCTGGGATGGGTTATAGTCTCTCATTCCCCCAGCATCTCCATAACAAACTTTCCATGAAGGATGGTCTTTGGTTGTTACAGTGGCTACTGAAAATGGATTCTTGTCATCACAAGAGGCCTGACAGGGGCCTGAGTGGGGACCACCCACCCCCTTGTCACTTGCCTGCACTGAATCAGAATCAAAAGCCCTCTAGACAACCAGACAACGAGCAGGAGGTACACAGGAGGGTTTAGAAATATTTCTGTTCACAATGATTAATAATCCAACTGGAAACTTGTAATTGCAAAAGCCACCCTAAATCGGTAACTTATAACTTGTATATTAGGGCCCATGTGACCTAATAAAGAACATCTTTATCCGAGTATTACAGTTATTTATTGAACTTGAAAACAGCTCAGAACAACTTCTGTTTTCTATTATACTTCATATAAATTTTATCAGGCTAGCACATGAAGATGCTACATCTTGTTTTATAGTGTGTCCCTGGACAAGGTGCCATGGAATAATAAAAGACAATTTACAGCCAATAGCACACATATTCCAAACATACATACCAAAGATGAGTTTTGGCAGCACTTACAGTAACAATCCCAGAAGAATACATTTATATTTATTTCTCGAAATGCCATTGCTTTTGAAAGAAGCTAGCTCCATTTGTGTTTTATATACTTGTGAGCATGTGTATGTGTTTGGAGTAAGAAGCCCAGAACTCATCAGATGGAAAGAAAGGAAGAAGTCAGAGTGAGTGTTGCAATAAACAATGGCAGAGCTAACTAAAGCCAAGCTTGACTGATCTTGCTCACAGAATAATCCCTTTTCTTCCAATCCTAAGTGTAAAGCATTATTCTCTTGTTTCCCATGGGAGGATCTTAAAGACCTTAACAAAGGTTTCGCTTTCTGAGGCTTAAAGCCTGTCATGTTTTTAACAGACAGGAAGACTGAAGCAGCACAGGTAACAGACAAATTTTCAGGAAAGCTGGTCTGAGTGTGATGTGAGGGCCCTCCATAACAAACCGATAGATCCTGGGTAGGAAGGCTCTCTCTAATGCATCCCCCAGTAGGAATTTTACCAGGCACAAAGAATAGTTCTCACTGGGCCCCAGAAGCCTGTGGTGAGGGTAGAAGACCTGAGATGTGAGAGAAAATGGGAGCTAGCCCCTGTGAGTTTCAGTCTGGGCTGACTCCAGGCCTGACTCTTATTCAGAGTCACAGTGGAAGATCGTGTCTGTTGGATTTGGCATCTGATGGCTCCTCGTCACTGGCAGCATGAGACATGCTGACCTCCTGTACTGAGAGAACCACAAAGCCTAGAATTATTTTCAAGGCTAGAATCTAAATCTCAACCCAATGCGGCATGTTTGAGAATCTTGAGCAGGTGCCACTTTTCACCAAGATAAGGAAAACTGATTGCCCCCGAGAGGAAGGTGAGCTCCAGATGTGGGTCCCTAGGGCAGCATGTCTCTGCAGTGCAGAACGAGATTAAGATCAGCCTTGGCAGGTGCTCGTTATAGTGAGCGCTACAGATTATTTCGTGCAGAGCTTGCTGTTGAGTGAAGCACTTCTTAGAGTGGGTATTAAAATTTAATAGAAACTTCAATTTCCCATTTGAAAAATATAGGTGCCCGGCAAATCTATTCCAGTTTATTTTACTCACTCCTGTTTCAGGTAAACTTTTTTCTTTGCAGTTCAAAGCTGATGATAAGCCAATATCGTGCATTTGTTATACTTAAATAATCTTGATGCCAGGAAGGAACTTCTTCTAGGTTACATAGATCTTTGGGGTTACATGGCAAGGTAGATGAGTCTGATTCATTTGTCACCTACTTCGGGCAGAAAATGGTCTTTGGGGAAGGGGAAGGTCACTGGTGGGCTACGGCTATTGTATTTGGGCTTTACAGCCCTCAAAGAGCTTTTCTTTCAGTATTATAGAAAGGAAATGTCAAAACCAGACTTCAGATTAAACGCATCATTGGAGAGACACAGTAAATGACTACTGGGAACCAGCACTCCAGTTATGCTGCCATGGGCATGACTATAATCCAATATTCTTAGAAAGTTTAGACAAAGAGAGCATTATTGGTAAAACAAAACAAAATAACCCCAAACCACCCCACCCCCCAAAATCTCTATAGCCATGGCCCTTTCCTTTCTCATTTTTAGTTGGGAGGAAGAAGAGCTTCCAAAACAAAAGAGCTCTTACCTGGCTCTGCCAACCACCACAGTCTGTGCCCAAGGTTGCATGATCTCTGAGAAAGATCCATAGTCAAAAAATCCACTCAACCACTGACCTTTCTGGGCTACAGAAGGGAAAGAAAGAGAACAAAGAGAGAATAAAGACCATCAATCCATTGAAAATGCACTGGAACTGGTAAATTTAAGGTTGGATTTGGTGGATTGTTTTGGGGAGTTTGTTATTTTTTTTAACCATATTATAATAGATGCACGCATTAGGCAGCTGAATGTTCATCTGCCTTCAGACATCATCTCCTATTTCATTTGCTAGTCTGCATAAAAAGAATCATTTATCAGCAAAAGCATCATTTATTGTTAAACGATGGGGTTCAGCTAGCAGAGAGTTTGCATGCTTTTAAATAAATAACTTGGCTTTTTTCAAAACACTACAAACATTTGTCAAAAGGCAGCCAAGTCATTGAAGTGTTTTCAAAATGTCTATTGCTATTTTAAAACTTAGCTTACAATTTTGTTTGATTCCACTGACTTTTTTTAATGGAAAGCTGAAGACACCAATGATAAGTACTAATGACCAGATGAGGACCCAAATTTGGGGAAAAAAAAAGGGACTTGGCTTCTCTGCTAGAAAAGCAACAAGATACATCCACTTTACTTACAGCTCAAAAAGTATAATCTTTCTACAAGAAAGGGCCATGCCCATATACTCTTGACACATAGCAAAAATATAATGGTTAAGATGCACACACTTAATGTCATTAACCTCCCCTGCACACAAAATTTCCTTCACTGGCAAGACAGGTAACTTTTGACATCTTAGGTTAAGAAAAAAACTTCTGTTCCACAGGTATCCGTGTTTGACCAAGGCCCCATAAAAGCTTCTGCAAATAACTGTTTCCTAGCTTGCCCCTCAGCTCATGGTTTCTCAGTGATCCTTCTAATTTGAACATGGCCCTCCGCCCCCTAAAAACCCAAGTCCAAAACCAATTAAAAGTGGAGATCCGAGCAAGCTAACCTCTGCTGACTTAAACAGGATGGAGAGTGTTTTATCAAGACTAAATTTGTAATTACTGTGTTCTACATTCCTTGCCTCTATGGCCCCAGTGTAAAATGTGATCATCCATTTCAAAATTATCTCTCTATCGTGAGCCCAAAGCTGATCGTTTAGATTCTGGTCTCGTGTTGGGCGTCAGTTTGAAGAATATCACAGCACTATCTCCTCTAATAAATGACTTTAACTTTTCACCTAGAAGATATCTGCTTTAACTTATCACAGGGAATCATCTGCTTTCTTTAACGCTTCCACTAAATTAAAATCTGAAGTCACTCGATTTGGGAGCCAGTGTTAGCTGCACATAGACAGCAGGATGAATTACTAGGGAGTCGATGAAAAAATATTATCCAAAAAACAGAAAACTTAGTTTATCACAAATTTCATTTTATTCTGTGGGTCGCATTAATAATAGCCAGGATAATGCCCACTTACATACACACACATCTGTTCACCCCATGAAAGAGGGCTCAAATTTTGATGAAGGTTCTAAATCAAACTTCTAAGTGCATCAGGATACTGAAATTTTAACCTCATATGCTTGGATCATTTTAGGATTCTTACTTCAGTAACAATGATTTGGAACAACAGAATTCATCAAAATGGAAAGACTTTCTTCTTTAAAAATCCTCCTGGCTATGTATGTTGATTGGGGGAGGGGACTCACTGGTGGGCTATGGCTAGTGTAGGTAGGCTTCACCCCCCAACCCCCCAAAGAGCAGGCTGTGTTCAGTTCAGATGCAGAACTTAGAAGCCAGCTAAGATGCAACCCCCTCCTCCCCACATGATTCCCAGGAGGACTCACAGAGTCTTGCTCTGAATTCTCCCAGAAAAGTCCTGGATTTTTAAGGCTGACAGACAGCTTAGGTTCATAGTTCTTATCATAATCATGGCATACAAATGAGAGGTAGGGAGATTACTATGGTGATTTTTCTGGCTATGTAAGAAAAACTAGTTTTATTAAGAGCAACAAGAAAAGGCATTGAAGACAACAGGTAAAATTTTATTTATTTTTTAATTTTTTTTTAAAGATTTTATTTATTTATTTGAGAGAGAGACTGAGAGAGAGAGAGCATGAGAGGGGGGAGGGTCGGGAGGGTCAGAGGGAGAAGCAGACTCCCTGCCGAGCAGGGAGCCCGATGCGGGACTCGATCCAGGGACTCCAGGATCATGACCTGAGCCGAAGGCAGTCACTTAACCAACTGAACCACCCAGGCACCCGACAACAGGTAAAATTTTAAATTAAAATTCCTCTGGTGATTTTTCTATACAATCTATAGTTGGGCTGCAGATTTAGCCCTAATTCCTAAGTAATAGCTGTGTGACCTTGCACAAATCACTTAACTTCTCTGAGCTTGTAAAGTGGTAATTTCTTTTCATCTCTGAGAAGTAGTAAGCCCAAATAAGATAATGTATATGGAAGTGCTTTGCTGTCCCACCTCGCTCAGAGTGGGTACTGACAAAGGTTTAAGTCTTCCTTATGCAGACCTCTTTTTTCTTTTAACAAAATCACAGTGACTTAAATTTAATGAATTATCTTCTGCACTTGCTTTCTTTGAAATAGTTGCAATAAACATGCAAAAAAGAACAAACATCTTCTCAAACAACCTGAAAAAAAATAGATTCAAAAGGTAGCTGGGGGATTTGGGGCTTCACAAAAGAACCGCGTGATAAGTAAGGTTTGTTAAAACAGCCTAATGGACTGACAAACAAGAATGTACATTCAACCTTACCTGGAGCCACCACTTTTTTTCTGTTTTGTTTTTGTTTTAAAGATAGGTAAAATCAGCCATAAGACAGAGGGATATATTAGGTAAGTATGGGGTGAGGTTTTGTTCTCACTTGATATATTTATAAAATTAAAGAGTGCTGGACAATCTCTTCATGAATAATGATCTTACAAAGTAACCTTACATTAATAACTAAAGCAAGTACCAGTACTTTTACCAATATCATAAGAAATGAAGGGTACAATGAAGGGTGGATGCTCAGAAATAGCTTGACGAGAAGAGTGTAGTCACGTTCCACACTAAAGGGTCAAATATCTTTTCTAAAACTGATCTGACTGATCTCTGTTTACAGAGACTGGATGGTCAAAGATTCTATGACTTTATTGCTTAGATTTAACTGTTCTGAAGTCTTTGAACCCATTAAGTAATAAGTGCTTTAAGAACAGAATTAACAGAAGAAATGTATTAGTGACTGCCCTGCGTATGCCTCAGTGACTGACTTATACATCTAATTTCATTCGGTTCTCATTTGTTCTTGAAGGATTTTCCACCTTGATCTTCAGAGAGCGGTTTTAAAGATTTGTCTCATTTCCACAGTTACTTTAATAGCTCTGTTATGCCACATACTATTGTGCAGGAATTGGGTAGTGATTAAAAGGAAGACTGACAGCCTGAGGGCCAGGGTACTACCGGACCTTCAAATATATACCTACTTGGGTGAGGTCGGCCAGCTAGCATCCATCGAGGATCATATGGGGCCTTCGTGGGAACAAACTCGATGATTCTATCTATAGGATCCTTGGAGTTCAGGAGAGGAACTGAACTGCGCACATTCTAAAAGGTGGTTGGGAGGAAAGAGCACAGCAATCAGTGAATAGCAGGCCCATGATCCCGACTCAGCCACGATCGTTACAAAGACAGTAGGGACCAAATACAGAATCATACCCATCTGTCCCAGTCATCAGCTACAGGCATCCTGACTGTATGCCAAGCCCTGAGAACATGCACAGATCTCAAGTCTCATGTAGGAGCCTGGCAAAAAGAGGTACATTCTGACTCTTGATTTCCGTGTACCCACACTTTATGGGAAGTTTCCTGGGGGGATAGATGGCTATTACAAAAGAGAAAACCCACAGTGACCTGAGCCCAGATAGGCCATGAAGGCTTCTGTGACTGGGGAAAACATCAGAAAGGGGCCTAACCAATGAAATCCAAAGGCATTTTAAAGGTAGAAGCCCAAAGATGGCTGCAAGAAAAAGAGAAACCAATAACTTCCAGAGGAATATTTCATAAAACAGCTTCTCCACCATAAAGAGGAGACCTCAAACACAGAGGCCGTGTGAGCTGTGGTGGGAAGGCCGGGTTCTGTGGGCTTTGTCCGCTGGGTGGGAAGGGCTCACCTTAGGCATGTAAGACAGCCAGTGCAGGACAGTGAAAACCCCTTCAAAGTCATCGCAAACGATGCTGTGGGTCACCCCATTGTTGTGCATGATCTGGATGCCCCCAAGCTGGTTATTGGAGGTATATACCTCCCGCCCAAGGACCTGGAGAAATAAGCAGGAGAAAAGACATTTGTCTTGACAGAAATAAAGGCAAAGTCTATTTTGTGATTCTCACTAAAATGGGTTCTTTTCTCCACCAGACAGATTCCAGCCTCTGTGGGTTGTTCAGAGGGACTCTCTGGACCTTTGTCTTAAAAAGAAAGCTGAGAAAATCAAAAAGGCTTTTTGTGAACAATCATATATACCACTGCAATTTAAAAACCAGCAAAAGCATCTCCCTCTCTCTCCTAGCTGCCACAGACAGGTGTTAGCATGCTTCGACTCAGCCAGAACCAGCGGAGGGGGGGGCGGGGGAGGTTTGAGGCTGTGACCCGGAAGTGCAGGCTATGCCTGCGTCTGCAGGTGAGTGGACTGCTGCATATATACACAAAGAGGTAACATGCCTGTCTTTTGACAATCTTTAGTGACAAGTCTCACTTAAATGCTGTGAGATTTGGGTCCCTAATTTTTTTTTAAAGATTACTTTTCCCCTTACATTTGATTTTTCAAGCTGGTCCCCACACACAAGTCCTAAGGCGGGCAAAATCCTGAAGCAACTCATACATACATAAACCCTTGAGTCTAAATTTGTCTTTGTGTGCTGGGTGGAGGGCAGTGATTTATACCCAAGCCCACCTCTCCTGTGTCCTTCTCTCCCAAGGTTCCAGGGAATACAGAGGGCCTCTATCCCTGGTGTGTCCCTGGAGGAGTTTAACCTGTGTGAGGTTGAAAGGCACCTGCAATTGGAAACCACAAAGTTTCCTTTAAAGACGGACAAAAAATAGGAAGGAAAAAATATTCGTAGACTTGGAAATTGTAAGGTTTCTTTTTCCTTAGAAGACTAGTTAATAATTTCTTTCAGGGAGGGAAGTTTTCTAACCCAGCAATGGAAGCCAGCCTGATCACTGACTATTGCAAACTGCTGAGTGTGTAGTAATTGCCAGTCATCTAGGGTAGCCCTGGAGAGCTCTGAACAGTTGTAGAGCGCTTACTGTGTTTTGCCTTTTCTCTTCTCTCTCCCCTCCTCCTCCAGAAAATAACCACAACACAAATTTGCTTCCTTAGTAACTTTCATTCATTTTCAGTCTCTGGGAAGAACCTAATAAAGGGAAGGCCAGCAAGTTCTACCTGTATATTCCCATCTTGCCCCTTCCTGTTAGGAGCATTGAGATATTCGCCTCCATGCTGGGTCAGCCCCCATATCAAGTCCCTGCAAAGGACGAGGAAGTTGGCGACCAAAGTCACCACCTCAGTGTGACCCAGCTGGTCTTCGCTCCACATAACTTCAGCTAGGAAGGGAGGAAGAGACTCTTCTGAAAGAAATATGGAAAGCAAAACTGCCTTCCTTGGTGAGGAAGTGCAGAGAACCAGTCTTTGCAGATAGCCCTGAGCTGAGCGACAAGCCGGCAACTGCTCTGAAAGAGCCCCAGGCACAGGGGAGACTGTATGTGACCACTGGGCTCCCCCTCCTCCTCTCAGTCTGTCTTTAATCTCAGCCCAGGCACTGTGGCTCCTTTCTCATTCTCCTGCTGTCTCTTTCCATTTGCCCTCTCTCTGACTGATACACTGATCTCTCGGTCACTCGGCTTTCTGCTCCACTGAGTCCATATTACTAATAACACCTCCGCCACGGCCAGTTTACCTCATGAAGGCAGGAGCACATCATTACAAAATAAACTCATAACTTTGACATTCTAGCAAATACACGCCGTTTGTTATTTTGATGGCTTTAGTCTTTCTAACAGGCAGAGGGCATTACATACCTGTTTCATTTATATCTTTAAATTTGTGCACACATGTATAGTCACACATGCATCAGGAAACAAAACAGAACAAAAAACCAACCCCAAACAAATATCCAAAGCAGTCAGTTGATGGGGGACCCTGGTGGAAGCAAAAACCCTGTCACTCAGGGAGGCCGCGCTCTGATCTGGCTCTGGTTTTATGGACGTCATAAACCCGATGGCCCACAACTGGTCCTTCTGGGACAGACAGCCTCTCTGCCAGAAGTCATTCAGTGTGATCAGCAGTATTTTTAATTATTAAAATAAAATTGGAAAGGGGGAAAAGAAATAAAAAGGAGACACTGCACTGACCCTGAATATCTGATATTCACACTCTATGTCAGGAGCCAGGAACTCCTAGTTGCCTGGAAGAGAGCTGGGGCCATTTCCTACTCAGAAAGATGGTTTTCTTTCCTAGGAAACACTATTTCTAGTACTTGATAATGTCCACCTGCTTAGAACCTCACACCCCACCCCCCTCCAAAATGAGTGATGGATTGAAGGACCAATCTTGGCAAAAGGGACCAAAGTGGACCAAGAGCTGCTCAGCTGTTCAAATACATACTCCCCACACAACTTGGTCTCTCACTTCAAAAGGGAAGAGCATCCAGGACCGGGGCTACTCGCGGAGGCTCTGCCACTTGCCCATTCCACCCCATATTCTTATAAATTAATGGGGGACAAACTTGGAGGGAGCAAGAGTTTAATCACCTAGCACATCTTCCCTTTACAAGCAAAACTCAGCTTCTGACGCTTTGGCATTGTTCTGAAAAGGCAGTATTTGTACACTGGATTCAGAAAGAAACCTAACCAGGGCTTACCACAACCAAGGACACTATTTGTGGACTAAAGAAATGTTTGTCATGTGAGAAAATTCATTTACTTTGGGAATTAAAGGGAAAAATTACAGGCTAGACTAACAGAGTCTCCAAATGGCTCTCTGACTGGCCTTATCTTAGGGGGTGGGGGTGGGGAGGGAAGGACACGCAGAAATGAAACCTGCTTCACTAATCACAAACAAATGCTAACAATCATAGCTACTTTACAATCGGTGAAGAGAAGGCAGTACCCTCCAGTTCATCTTCAATGACCGTATGTTTGGAGCATGCACCAGCAGAATGAGGGTGCACACAATAGCTCCTGATTTATAGGGGTCGTTGCTGACTCAAGTGGTTTTAATGATTTTAGAATACTTCACAACAAAAGCTCCAACCAAAGAAGCAGAATCTGGGCTAGGACAAAATCCATTTTGCCTAACTCTGCAATGATCATGCTGGAATAGTTACGCAAACCCTGATCAGCATCTAGGAAGGCAAAGAAAAGAGCCCACATAGACGGTACCACAGCTTTATTCTTCGGTGTTGCCCTACCAACGTTTCACAGAAAAATGTGGGGTAAACGATCCTCACTGACTTAGTATTTTCATGAAGTAGGTGAGCTTTATTCATCAGTTTTTCCACTGTGACATACACATAGCTATACAAATCGAGTTGCTGACCATTTTCCATTTTCCCAAATTACTTTTCTCACATTTTCTACTGCGTGATGCAAACTTTTAATTCATCTTCCCAACAAGCATCAGGAACCATATTTAAACACAGGAGCCAGGTTTAGGTGGAGAAGCAGTACCATAAAATATTAGGAACAGGCACCACCTCAGGGTCCTCCACTGAGGAGTGCCCACGCCCACAGAACTGAATAAGGGCTGATTCTGAGGGGAAAGAGGATCTTCCCCCACTCAGTATAAACCTAAGCCTCATCCAGCTCTTCATTCATTGCAGGTGGCAGACCTGGGAATTAAGGGCACCACATAAAAGCCACTGATTAGCAGAGACACAGTTGTTAAAGGCTCCACCAAAGATGCTATACAGCCGTTAGAAATTTTGAGATACATAAGAAGTACAAATGAATGCAGTCATACATACATGCTAAGGCCTCTGCTGCTGCTGCTTATCTAGAGACACTGCAGACAGCTCAGGTTTACCATAGCTGACAGGCAATGAAAACAGTCTAATATACCGCCTGCTCTCTCCCTTAAATCCCTTTTTGGAGATCAAGATAAACACGTTCTTCCTTTCCCCAGTGCTCCAGACGTTTGACTGAAGTGGCAGAGCATTGTGAGGTTTTGTGCAAATGAAATCACTATGTAATACTGAATGAGTAGAGTATTTACTTGTCAGGATATTTGTCAGCACAGGCATTGAGATTTCCAAGTTTCATAGAGGCAACTTAGCTCAATTTTTTTAAAAACTGCCTTTGTCCTGATATACACATTATGTTGGGGGCCTTTAGACTTACAGGAAAATATTTGCAATCATGTGCTGAAGATGTGAAAAATAATGATGCATATCGATGGAATAAAAAATGAAATCTGCTGCTTTCCCCCCTTTACCCACTCTTTCCCCCTTTAAACAATTCTTGGGTCAGGGCGATCCTCTATTTAAAGAAGCAAGAAGTATAAAATTCCTCTTGCATCTAAGAATTTAGGCTATACAAACTGAGTCCTTGCTGCAATCCTCCCTCTCATTAGGGTATTTCCATCCTCAAGAGGATGTGAGGAGGGGTTTTGTACATTTCCCAAGCAATTATCATTGCTGGACTTCGTTCACGATTCTACACATTAAAGTCACTGTGGGATCTGTCAGGTTATTGATAAAGGTTTGGCTAAGGCAGAAAGAGAGACAAATATGGACAAAAAAATAAGTGGGAGCAGGAAAAAAATGGTAAAATAGGGACAAAAGAAAGGAGGAAGAACGAGAGAGGAAATGGGAGGGGGGAGAAAAGAGGAAGGGAAAGAAAGAAACGCAATAGCTCATCTACTCCTGCTGCTGACACTCTCCTCCCTGATCTGAGAGGACTACATTTTTAAAAGCTGACAAGTAATTCAATCTCCAATTAACAATTTTAAGTGGTGCAGCACATATTCCTGTGTAAATGTTTCTCCAGGAATGTATCCAAGGGTGAATGGAATTAAATCTCTAGGGAGGCAGAACTGGTGCATGCAACCAAGAATATTTGGGGGTTCCCAAAACACAGCCTCTTGATACACAGACTCAGGGTTACAACTTCCTCTCCCCTCTTCATTGCCACTTGTCACTAGCAAACTGGAGTGCTGGTTGGCAGCTGGTAGTCTAGGGTTGGGGGGTAGAAAAGAGGCACAGTGACCTACTGCTGGCACAGGATGGGAAAGCCTCTGACCTGAGCCACAAATGGACTCAG